GGCGCCGCTTCGCTATGGCCCCCGTCCCCCCGGTAACCGGCCCTTCCGCCGCGCCCCGCGCGGGGCGCGCTGGGAGTTGTAGTTCGCCACCCTCTCACCCGCACTTCCGGACTCGAAAAAGCTGTTTATTTTGAGGAGGAAAAAGGGCGGAAAAGACAAAAGATGGAACCGCGGCGGTGGGGGGAGTAAATACCGCCCTGAAGGGAGCAACGGGCAAAAAAATGGCCTTCTGGGGCTAACACCAAAACACCACCCACCCCCCAAAACAAGCAAAATAGGACCCCAGTCTTCATTCCCTCCCCCAGCAATAATCCTAATTATTAGGATTAAGCTCTAATTAATCAATCAGGCTCAAGTTTCATTTTAGTGGGAGATCTGACCCCTAACTCCGCCCTCAGGCCCCACCAAGAGCTGCAGCCACCACCTCAGGATCATTCCAGTTTGTGTGTGTTAATGTGTTCTGCTTTTTATTTATTTTTATTTAAAATCACTTTTTTCAAGGAAAAACATACCCCTTTTCTCCCCCGTGCCCTTCCTGAAGCCCTTTCTGTATTTCCACTCATGGCCCTCCTCCCCAAGGGCAATTTTTCCTCTTTTTTCCCCTAGAAAGAGCAGTCAGAGAAAAGCGCCTGCAACAACAAGTCTTCAACACCCAGAGCATTTACACAATCACACAGAAAACATAATTTTTCTTTCCCTTATCATCTAAATCGTGTTGCAAGAAGGAAGAGCAGCCCCTGCCTCAAACTTTATACACAGCCTGGTCCTTACGCTACATTTGGATGTTTCTACAGGCGCCTCTCAAACAAGTTGTGTGGGAAAACGAGCGTGGAAGCATCACGCGGCGGCGCCTCTCGGATATTCGGCCGATCCAGGTTTTTAAAGGTCGGAGAGTTGGTACCTCCTCACGACGCCGTCGCGGCAGCACGTGTAAATCTGCTTTTCCCAGGAAGCCACCTAAAAGGGGGGAAATTACAGTGTGTTGAAGCACGCTCGCTGTCCTGTGGCTGTTTTTAGGAAAGGAAACACCCTTGCAGTTTCTCCGAGGAAAACCTCCGGGTCTGGAGAAGCCATGAGGGTCCTACAACTTCCCTCTCGCAATAAACCACTTCCATAAATTACAATGTGGCAGCATCAAACTGAACCTGGGCCTTAAGACAAACTTAGAGATCAGAAACTTTGTGGATTTCTCTCCTCCAGAGGGAGCAGCATCTCCTAAGAGTTCACTAATTTTCCCCCAAATTAGCAAGTTTTAAAGGACGGTTCAAGTTTTCACTGTGCTCTCAAAGACGGGCAGATAAGTGTGCACAGAACAGAGGGTTTCTCTTAAATATTTGAGCAAATATTTTAAATATTTGCTTGCATATCACTATTCTGGAAGCTCAGTGTTAACACCGAGCCTTGCCCTGAGGCTGAGGCGTTCGTGTTGGCTGAGAGCTGCACTGTGGGGCTGGTTAAAAACAAGAGCTGATTTTCCCCAGCTTTTCATAGGTCTCTGTGTGTTCAGAGTTTCTGAAAAGCCACAAAACTGTTTTCTGCTCTCTGCTGTTGTTACCCAGAGGATGGTCTAAGCACATATTAATTCTGGTCTTTGCCAGATCTGCTATCAAGCTACTCGGCTGCTGCAGCTTTACCCCTGCACAAGGGAGATTACACACTGCAGAGATGCCAAAAGGATTTTTTTTAATGCAAAATATTAAGATTATTCCACTGGGAAAAATAAGCTTACAAGTGAACGCCGTGAATGCGCCGGTTCTGCCCATACCCGGCCTCGTTTTCCGACGTCCTCCAACGTCCTTCCGACGTTCCTTACCTTGTACACGGGGTCGCAGTCGGCTTCGGTGAGATCCACGACGTAGTCGAGGTCTTGCTGGACGAGGAAGCAGGTTCCGTCACCTACAGAAGCAGAGGAGCAGGGAAGGAGCATGGGCAGAGGAGCAGAACAAGTCACGGCCTCTTTACAAAAGCAATTAAGCCAAATTTTGTAAAGCTCTTTACAAAAACTGCCTGTTCGGAGGCTGTGGAGCCCTTGGGAAAGGGGGAGCCGTGGGGATACCAGAGAGACAACAAGAAGGTGGGATGCACCTTGAAGGCCCTATTTTGGGGGAGAATCAATGTAAAAACACATGTGATAAAAAAGAAAAAAAAATGACAAGGAAGTTGCCATGGGCACTCTGTTTGCCTGCGCAGCTGAACACATCTTGTATAAAAAAGCAGGCAAGAAACAAAAGAGCAGGAAAGTACTTGAGAGTTACCTTGGCTGGCAATAAATCCATCTTGGTAAGGGAGCAGGGAAAGCACCGGTGCCCCGGATCTGTGAATGACCTGGATTGGAGCACTAGGAAAAGGAGGAAAAAGGAGAGAAAAGTGTCATGGTGGCAATGTGTGAGAAGGGAGAAAAGAATCACAAGTTTGGGGCTAAAAACTGCCTAAGGAGAATGTGTCAGGCATGGGAACACGGTCCCTGGCTGGTGATCGGTCTGTCCCTAGGAGCAGACACGAGTCAGCACTGGTTTCATGCAGAATCACAGACAGGATTAGCCCCTACCAAAACACAGGCATTAGTCTGAAGCTTATCCAACAGGAAAGACCTTTTCCAGGCTTTACACAAGCCTGTTTGGCAGTGTGCAAAGGCACCAGCTGGATCCCCCTCGCCTTGGGGCACTAGATTTGAAACTAAAACCCAAGTTAGACCTGGCTCCTGCCCTCAGCAACTGCTCAGTCACTCTAAAGGGCAAGAGCCTACAGAAACTCTCAAGTTATATAGAGAAGGACAGCAAGGGCCTGTGCATAATATTATACACTTTATGAATAAATATATATTGAAAAAATAATAACATGAGAGGTGAGGCTATGTCAGCAGCCCTCCTGGTCACAAGGCAAGCCTGAAGAGTTATTCACTTGGAACTGGCACAGAATCCATAGTGTTTTAGGGAGAACTTTGCAAGCAGCCCCATGGGACCCCCAAACCCAGCAAGGAGCCCCAGGTTAAGCGCTCCCAGCCTCGGGCACTCACTTTGTGTTTCTCATGTCCAGCTGATAGATGTTCCCATCCTGAGTCCCAGCCAGGACATAGGTACTCGAGAGGAACGTGCAGCAGTTGAACGCATCGGATCCAACAAAGAGAAACACCTGGGAATAGAGAAACAAGCAGAAATGTCAGGTACTTCACGGATCAGAACAAAGGAGCCACCAGAGGCCAAGGGAAAGGGACAATAATTTATTTAAATTAGTCCATAGAGCCATTTCCATGAATCAGGGCACCAAGTGGCAAACCCGGAGCCAGGTTAACAGCCCTCGTGCTCCAGGATCATTCCTGCCAAGCCAGCACTGCCGGCACAATCCAGGAATCCCCTGGCTCTCCTCTGGGGAGAGACACATCCCGTGGTGACCGGCAGGGCAATCTGAGCTCACACGAGTCTCCAGACACCACAGAAGAGGGAGAAGGACCCGTGTAACTGGTTGGGTTTGTTACAAGGAGCAGCAGTTTTCCCCAGCTGAGGTTCTGCCACCTCCCTGAGCAGTTGTCACTCTCCCCCAAACACCCCAGCGAGTTGTTTTACGGCAGGAGCTCCTGTCCCCCAGCTGGCTGCAGGGCAGGATGGAAGCAGCAGCTCTGCAGAGCAGACCTGCAGCTCCTTCAGCACCAGGACACCTACTGGCCACTGCTTCCATAGCCTTACGTGGGCCTGGATTAGCCAGGCAAGTCTAATCCGACTCCTCGGCCTGCTGCTCTGCACCAGGACGTGGATATGGGGTTGCAAAGGGAGGAGCTGCTGCACAGGCCTTACCGGCTGCCTGCTCTGCAGTCCCACTCCCTGGAGCTTCTTGTCCTCGCGGGCCAACAGCAGGATCTTCCCTTCCGTCCCGACCTCCCGTTCACCTGGCAAGAGGACGACAGTGAATTCCAGCAGGACGACAGCGAATCCCAGCAGGGAAGAGCAGCCCAACTGACAGTACCAAGGTCTGCACCCGCGTCCAAAAGCCGGGATCCCTCCTGCGGAACACCCCGAGGCAGGGGGAGGAATGAAGAGGAAGTTTCTTACTGGGAGCGTTTTCCGGCGTGCCCAGGTTGAGGGAGCCGGCGGCAGCGCCCACGGCGACGCCGTTGAGGGCAGCGCCGCAGTCGGCGATGACGCCCAGACAGGCCGACTTGCCGCAGTCCCAGAGGCGCGCGGTGCCATCCCTGGAGCAGGAGAGGACGTTCCTGCCCCGGTCCACGATGGCCGTGTCCAAAATTCCTGCGAGGAAGCAGAGGACGCGCTCAGAGCGTGGGGAGGGCAGCGATGACAAGGTCAAGAAGAGGCTCTCGCATATCCTCAGCTCAGAAGACACCTCCCATAGGTGCCACTGAGTTTCTACCTCCTTGATTAACCTCTAACTTGGGAAGAGAAGAGCCTGGCCCAACCCTCCTGGGACACTTCCAGCTCTGCATAAGCCCAGGGACAAGTAACATCCACGTTATCCAGCTACATAACAGCAGGAGAGCAGCCCCAGCACACGCTGACATCTCCCAACTACTTCATTTCACTACGGGCAACTGTGGCTAGATCTGAAAAACGACGCAGCGTTCGCAGGAACAGCCCAAGTCTGAAGATATAATTAACATCCTCCAGACAGAAGCAGTAATTAAGCACAAGTTCAAACGAGAGGACAAGTCTGAAGTAAGTCCAAGCAAAGCCCAAATGCAGCTACGTGCTGGCTGCTCAGTTTGGCCTGGGCTTGGGCAGACGGATGAAACCAACGCCAGGGCCACGGGGAGCCAGCGCGAGCCCTGAGCACAGCCCCGTTACGCTGCCTGCCCCTCTGTGCAGGGGACATTTGTGGCAAGGGCACCTGGCATTTTTTGCACCCACGCACGTTAAGACAACCACGGGGTCAGTGCAAGCCCGGGGGTGAGTTTGGTTTTGCACAGTCACAGGGTTTGCACTTTTCAAAAGCACCTTGTGAGACAGGGAAGCAAGAGGCTGGGCAGGGGGACGAGCTCCTTCCAAGCCCTCCCTCAAGATGATCCACTTATGCAGCCTCGGAGCTAATAAGCTATATGTTTTTCTGATCAGGAAAGACAAGAGAGGCCCTGGAGCTGCTCAAGGTCAACAAGACGATCCGGGCACGAGCGGGAGAGGCTCCAAAGCAAGCCCAGCGAGCACAGTTACACACAGCAGGTAAAACATTTTAAAGGCTACAACACTTTAAAGTACCTCCTTTGTGACCTTTGAAGGTGACCACACAGCTGGCATCTTCTGCCGACCAGATCTTTAGCTGGGCGTCCATTCCCCCGCTGAGAACCACGAGGCCCGATGGGAAAAACCTGCAACAATTCACATCATACACATGGCCTTCCAAAAGTCTCTGGAAAAACAAAGAACTACGTGCTAGTTCCATGGTTATCATCCTCACGGCGAGCAAGTTTTGAGCTGGGCCCTGCTTTGACATCTGAATGACTAATTACATGGCAAAGAGCATCACGTCCCTCTCTAAGGGCAGGTTAAATAACCCTCAGCATCCTCTGAGCAAGCAGGAGGCAGGTCCAGCTCCAAAAGAAAGAGCCTAACTGGGAAAGCAGTGGCCACTCACAATGCGGTTAATTTAACATGGGCAAGTGCCATTTTCCTCTCCATTTCCCTGCACAGGATAAATTCCTGGCTTGTTCCACACAGGTCAGGAGGTTCCAGCCATCCTTCCTAACCATCCTCTCATGTCTTCACCCTGGGCCTCCTCCCCAGACTGCTCAACATCCTTTCCCTCGGGGAAACTGCGCTTGCCAACAGGTGGAACTTTTAAATCTCCAAAAAGCCAAAATTTCATTAGATTTTCAATTTTTAAAAATCCCTGCCCGCCCTGGCTCACAGCATGCAGACAGTCTGACCAAAACCTCCCAAGCCAGATGTGCCCTTACCCTTATTTCTCCGTTTGCAGCCTGCCAGATTTTCATGGTGCCGTCCGTGCTGGTGGACACCCCGAGCCCTCCGCCGCTGGAAATATCAAGGCACGTGATCTGCAGGGAAATAAAACACAGGACAGGGTTATCTGGCCTCTGTGCAGATGCTTCTGCTCTTAGCAGGGTTTCCCCCTACGGAGTTCTGCTCAGGTTCATCAATCCGTGTATCTCCTTGGATACACTGCTGGATTTGCTGGAACACCTGCAGGAGCTTCCACATTCCCAGCTAAGTGATTTCTGGAGGACAATGTACTTTCCTTATAGTTAATATCCTTCAGCAAGGACTTTCTGGCTTCCCTGTGTTAAGTCCTCAGAAAACACACATTTTATGAGATATTAATTAAGCCTTCATGAATCCCCCCGCCTCTCTCTTCCCCTAGGAAAGCAGCTCCCAAGCATCAGGCTTTTCCCAGAGGAAAAGGACAGCATAAAGATAAAATCTGCTCAGTTCATCCCTTCCCACAGATGCAGAATTCCTCCTCAAAGAACAAGCTGCTGATCTGCAGCCAGAGCTCGGACGAGCGCAGGGTGACAGGAACCTGGAAGCAGCAGCCAGGACTTCTTGCAGTTACCACCGCTGTGAATAACAATTTCCAGAGAATTTGTTATTCCAGAGAAATTGTTATTCCCTGCCTGTGGCTCTGCAGAGCTCTGCAAAGCAGGGAGGAAGGTGATGCTGAGCCAGAAACCTGCACAGAGATTGTGTCTTCCAGGTTTGCTCCAGGTGAGGCAGAAATCTGGATTTTTCTGGTACCTATAAATCCGAGCCAGGAGATGTTTTGGACGAGAGGAGATAAGGAACTTAGGAAAAGGTCACCTTTCCCATGACACGAAATATTTTTGCTGCAGGAAAGCACCAGCATTTCAGCTTTGAGTGGAATGATTTAAGAGGTGTATTCTAGCCTTGAACGAGAAAACAGAACTGAGTGACTGAGACACTTGTGACATGGATATTTGTGTTTTTTTTTTTATTATTTTTCCTATTTTTTTAATTTTATGTATTTATGTATTAAGGTGGCTGTTTAGCCATGACAGCAGCCCTTAAGGACATTCATTTTTATCTTGATCATGCGAGAAAGCTTCAGTGTTATTTCACACAACCACCACGCCTCTCCATGGTAACTTGCTCCCTAGCAAGCAAAAAAAATAAACCAGAGACTGCAGGATATTTAAGCAGGAATAAAAGTGAAAAAAAAAAAAGCAAGCACACACAGATGTGCGACACATCCACAAACCTTCTATAGGGATATGGAAGCAGGAAGCCAAAACGTGGCCTCGTTTGCCCTTGGAGTGGCTGGAAAGACATGTCAAAACACACTTTGATTTACACAGCTCTGAGCTTCTTCGATGGACACGGAGGCCCCTCCGAGCACAGAATTCGGTGCCACAGACACAGGGAAAATATCAGACAACTTCAATATATGAAGGCAAACAGCCCCTACAAGCCTGACACAAATCTGAATCAGTCAGAGATGAAGAGCTTGACACCTGAAGCTACTAATTTTTGTATTTTCCTCCATTAACTCATTTTACTCCTTTAGAGTGGGATCTGTCGCTAGTCTGAAGTGAGCAGAAACCCAATGGCTTGTGAGAGAAGAGAGTTAAGAACTAAGCAAGTAGAAGAGGAAAGGTCTGGGAAAGGGTTCTGCAGGGTGACGGGATGCTCCGAGCCCTCAAAGATCCACCAAAAAACAAGAACATACCAGCAGCCACTTAATTCTAGCCATTTCCCAAGTTTTTAAGGTCTGAAATGGTTTGTTACCAAGTTTCTGTAGGAAACCATTCCACGAGGGCATTTATTTAAACGTGCCCAGAGCCACAGGACGTGCTGTGAGAGCTCAGTTGCTTGCAGTCCGCAGAGTCACTTACGCTCTTCTGATGAATCCTGCTAAAGGTCGTGTACGGCGCCAAGAACTTCGTGGACACATTTTCATGCGGACAAGAAACAAGAATGCTTTTCTGGAGGAGGAAAAAACGGGGGGAAAAAGGGCAGAAACAGAAGTGTTATGAGCTCTAACAAAACAGCCAGGTTTAAAATATTTTTTTTTTCATATAAATATACTCAAAAAGGGGCACAGGCAGCGTTCCCTGAGGGCTTGTTTTGCATTCAACTACTTGCCAGACTAAGGATGGAAAATTATTTCTGTGAGAACTGTCAGGAGGAGTTCTCAGGTTTGCCGAGCTTCCTGCCAAGGCAGGATAAAATAAAGTACGTCCTGCTACAGAGCAGAGCAGCCCCAGGGATTAGGGGGCTCAGAAAGGCTCTTTCTGCCCCAGTTCCAGCCCCGGGTGACCCAGCCGTCCCCCCGTCCAGCACCTTGGTGACGCTGCTGACCACGAAGCCCTCGGAGGCGGCGATGTCGGGGAGCCCCTCGGCGCTGAGCCCGCGCCGCGTCAGGCTGCCGTAGAGCGTGGGTTTCCCTGTGGGAACAGCACCCGTGAGCCCTCCCCCCGATCCTGCATCTCCCTCGGTTCTTCCGAGTTTCCCCCCGGATCCGTAACCTTCCTTGGTTTCCACTGTGCCCCCAAGGGCCGCTGCTTCCACCCTGCCAAAAGGCGGAACCAGCTCCGAGGTTTTTCCAGGAGTCCCCCCGTGCTCCCCACAATCTTCAGAGCTCCCCACCCCACTCCCTAGTCCCTGGGCTCCCCAAGGGCCTCCCCGCTTGAGCTCCCAGGTCCCCAGAGCCCCCTCAGCCCTTCAGGACTTCTTTGCTCCCAGCTCCGAGGTTTTTCCAGGAGTCCCCCCGTGCTCCCCACAATCTTCAGAGCTCCCCACCCCACTCCCTAGTCCCTGGGCTCCCCAAGGGCCTCCCCGCTTGAGCTCCCAGGTCCCCAGAGCCCCCTCAGCCCTTCAGGACTTCTTTGCTCTGCCCCTAATTTGACACCACCCT